ACAACCCCCAAACCCATCCAAACATACAAAACCTAAACTCCTCCAATTTTTTAAATATTCCTCCTTAAAACCAAGCATAACATGGATAATATAGACCTTGATGACCAATACCCCATCTCCTCCCCAATGTCACAAACCACAAAAATCATGAGAAAATCCATCTCCACCTTCCTCACACACCTCCCCATCTTCACCTCAAAACCTTCCTTCTTCGCCTTCCCCTTCGCCCTCTCCTCCCTCCTCCTCCTCCCCCTCTCCTCCTCCTCCCCCGCCTTCCCCTCAACCCTCTCTCTCCTCCGATCCCTCTTCCTCTCCTCCGGCTTCCCCCCTTCCTCCGATCTCTTCCCATTCCTCACCTTCAAACTCACCCACACTCTCCTCTCCTTCCTCTTCCTCCTCCCTCTCACCCTGTCCTCTCTCCTCCTCTCCAAATCCTTCGTAATCCGAACCCTCTTCCCCACCACCACCTCATCATCATCATCACTATCACTCCTCTTCCCACTCGTAGTTACTTATCTATGCAATGTGCTCGTCATTCTCTCTGCAAACATTGCATGCTTCTCTCTCCTCGTCATCCTCCTCAACCTCTCGGGAGATCACGCTTTTCTAGTGGCCGCGTCGGCCGCAGGGGCCGTCGCGTACTCGATCGTCGCGGCGAACGCGTACGTCGTCTGCGGAATGGCTCTGATCGTTTCGGGAGCGGAGGGGATAATGGGGTTCCGGGCGGTGATCAAGGCATGGGATGTTGTGGTGGTGAGGGGAAAGGCTACGGCTACAGCGCTGGCGCTGGCCGTGTCGGTGAATGCGGCGCTTGCAGGGGTCGAGGCGATTTTTCACTACCGAGTCGTGGTGGTGAGGGTGATGAGCTGGCATGTGGCTGCGGAGGCAGTGGTGATCGGGTATATGTACGCGGTGGTTCTTGTGGTGGAAGCCATTTTCGGATGCGTGTTGTATAAGGCGGTTACGGGTAGTTCGGAGAGAGGAGACGGCGGAAGGTCGATTTTCGGGGGAAAGGAGAAGTTGTTGAAGATGGTGGTGTGATTTTTATGTTGATGATCTCTTTTTTGGTTTAGTTTTGATCAGTGATCAGGCTAGTGTTTTTTGGAAGGTGCTGCATATATATAGTCCTGCAGTTTGGATTTACAGAATAAAGATTGTAATTTGTAAATTATAATTTTTTTTTTTTTTTTCTTTTGGTTACTCTTTGGGTAAGGATTTGGGAAACTTCTTTCTACTCTTTTTGGATTGTATAATCTCAGCTGATTTTAGTTTTATATGGTATCAAATGTCCCAGAATAACTAGGGGTTTGAACTAGGAATATGTCAGTACTCTGTTATTTTTAATTGCATATGGCTGAATATTCTTCAAAAAAATAAAAAAAAATAATGCATATATTTTAGGGGAGATGTTAAGGTCCCGTTACGGAACCATTCCGTCGGGGTTTGTAACCGTTAGATCAACTATCCCGACGGTTACATGATAATTGTGCTAGCTTTCTTGACAGCACAATTTGTCAACCCCTCTTAATTGTGTATGCCATTTTATTTTGAAAATATGAACATCTTAGTGTTTAATGGTTAGAACTTAACTAGCAGTAGCCTTATTGAAAAGACAAATGCCAAAAATCTGCCAAGACTCATTTACTATGGATAATTGTACTTTATGTTCTGAAATATAAACCCCCAGTCCTACAACACCACACCAAATAAAGAAATGTAACCTTTCAGAAGAATAGGTGACATAGAAATGGTAAAAACTGGAGCCCATGGTGAAAGTAAAACTTAAAAGTGAAGTTATTATTCACTGAAGAGCAAAGGCTGAGCCAACATATACACATGAAACAAGAGAATAACTAGGAAGATATAGGTAAATAGCAAATACATAAGCACCTACAGATTCATAAAATTATTTTCATTTCCCATTGGAAAATGATTTATTGAAAAACAGTTCTGAAGATCAAATTTCTACCAAAAACACACTTACAGCTCGACTAAATCGGTACCTACCGACATGCCTACTCCATATATCCATATTTACACGAGAATTTACGGAAGGTTCCACAATCCCACCCTATTGCTATTACAAAAGGAACCATAGACCAATTTTTATAATACAACAAAGAATTAGAGCTAAACCTAATCAAAGGGTTGAATCTATATAGTTATGTACAAGTCCAATGAAACATTCTACAGATAGAGCTTAACAATGTTCTTTTCAGCTGATGCGTGAATGGGATGCCAATGCTGGATCCAATGAACTCGGCTTTTCCATCAATAAAACGAGCCTTGTGTTGAAATAATCGATCAATTTCAATCCACTTGCGGCATTCTCAACAATATCCATCCAGGAATCCGCATAAATACGCCACTTGATAACTTCTAAAAGAGATTCTCCCCACCGACAAAATTTACTACTTCCATAATTGACTACTCTGCAAAAGTGTATATTTCTCGTTCAAATCCCGATAGCACAGTCTTAGTTCCCATCCTCGAGAGAACCCATCAAATTCAGACTCTCATGTCTGGTAATATCCCACATCTCAACCTGATATATAAGGTTGATTTTACCATAAATAAACTCCTCAACTCTCGGTTTTACCGTCTTTCCTTGTCAGGTTTACCCCCTTTGCCTTCTCCATTTCGGCTTCCTTTTGAGCTTTCTTCTTTTCTAGCTCGGCCTGTTTGCAGTTTTCTTCATGAGCTTTCCGGAACATCCGCACAAAGTTCAGGAGGGTTTGCGTAACTGAAATGAAATTTCATGATAAGATACAGTTATCAGCAAAATCTGTGATGTCACAAAAAATCAAAAGAGTACAAAGAAGAAGCTGCATTTGCCAAGATACCTTGCTCGAATGGGCATCGAGCAGGATCTTCACCGAAATATAAAGCCAATGCATCTGCATTTCTTCCCTGCCGAAAATATGAATATTTTATTAATAGCCAACAGCAAATAATCTGATTATATTGCATAACTTATCCATTATTCAGTAAGAAAATGTGTACCGCAATGGAATATAGACTTGTCACGGAGGACACTTCGGTCTCAGCAGTAACGACAAATTCATTTAAAGTCTGTCACGCACAACATATTTAAATTTCTCTCGTCAATTAAACAAACAAAATATGCTTCTGCAGTAAAAAGAATTACAAAAACTGTTTCTACTAACGATTGATGTATGGATTCAGTAGAAATAAATAGATCATGAAATACCTTGCGGAAAGTGTCAGATACAGGACCATCATTTTCTGAAGCAGCCAATTCCTGTTTCACTTTTTCCAGACCTTTGATAATAGCTTGCATTTCTTCAGCCAATGATTTTAATTGTATCTAGCAAAAAAAGACCAAAAAATAATCGTTACTTTGGAAACTATATACAATATTCAAAATTATTCACCCAGTATGAGATTAATACAAACCTTTGAAGCCGCTTCCAAGCTAACAAGATCTTGATGAAAATCCAAAAGGCCCGGTGCCTTTGACGCTAGCACCTGATAAACAGAAAGGGGAACTTTTTAGAAAAAGCATAACTAGATTGACTAAATAAGTCTCTTTTTCAAATATGCAAAGCACTCTAATATGGCATTCTAGCGTTGCTTCTATATTACAGAACAAACGTCGATATGCCAAAAGGTGTGTTACTCATTTCTTAATAGTTTGTCGAAAGGTCTAACTTAAACTTTGTCGACGCCTTGAATACATCCACAGTTAAGCATCAGTTAAAAATATTGATCGGAACAAAAATATCCAGTGGTTAATCTGAAAAATACAATCAATCTTTCTAAATTTAAGGCTCCAAATTGGTAGTGTTTCGCATGGGAAAGACAGAAGATGGCAAACAGAAAAGTGCTTTGAACTGCCGACTACTGATAACAGTAACTGCACACTTGATTTTGGAAGTAAAACAACATAATACTATAATTGTAACGTAAGAAGGAACTTTATCAATACCTTACAAAGATAATGCATGAGTGTCATCTTGCTGTTGGACGCACGTGTATCGGTGAGCTTTAGTAAACTATCTAATTTGAATCCAAGAGCAGAACCTAACAGAAAGTCAATAATCAATTACAGGCGTTCAAAAACCTAAAACAGCACCTTCCTACCACAAATTAAGATATTTAGACCAAGAGTAATTATCCAAATAGACTTCAAATAAATTAATACAAAGTTACTAAAAGCCCATAGGACGAGAATTGCTAAAAACAAGGAAAAACATGGTGTTTAAGATGCAGTTAAGTATGGACCTTAAGTGAACCTAAACACAAAAAAAAACATTGCTGCAATAAAAGTTCAAGCCATGGAAAATCAGCTACATTTGTGTCATTTTTGGGTGCAGTCCTTACAAATGTCAACATGTCAAAATATGCCATTCCCATCGATGAAACTGATTTTTCAGTATTACAGATTGAATAAACCGTGCATTTACATTTGCAATTTCATTGGTTCTGACCAGAAAGGATCATACCTCTGGCAGTTCCATGATTCAGTGTATTTCCCAAAAATAAGATTGTCTTCATAATCTCTTTCAGTTTGTGTGATCTTCGGACCTAATGAACATTAAGATGTTCAGTTATCCAGGTCATCACCATCAAAAGCATATCAACCATTCAGCAGAATTTTCATTTTACCTCTTCATAAGAAGAATTTACTAGGTTCAAGCTTTTCTTAAAATCAGAAACCTGACAACCGAAGTAAAATTAGATAACTGCCATCCATATCAGAGTAATTCCAAAAAGTTCATCTATATCAAGCCAACCTGAGAAATGAACTGAATCTTGAATAAGAAAACCCTTAATTTTGATTCCACTCGTGGCACCTTCATCAGCTCCAGGAAAAACTGAATAAAACAGAAAACCAAGAACACAGCCTTTTACTACATAGAACTCGTATTAATATGTTTATTCAAAAGTGGACTATTGCAGAAACAAGAAAAAGAAAACAATGCAGCTCAATCATAACAGGCAGACTACTATGACGGTGTATATACAGAATTAGGAACCAATTAATGCACAAGCTAAAGACCCTTGGTAACCAGCACAAAAGGACTAAACAATTTTTAGTCTGCCTACAGGCATTTTACTACAGTTTGTTAGAAAATCAGATGAACCAAGACCTTTATGGTGACAGCTGTCAGTGGACAAATCAAATTTGACCTCTTAACTCAGTAATTCCTGGACATATAGCATTAAATAAAAAGTTACAAGATCCTACAGTATATTCACTTCGAAAGCACAATGTCATTACAGAAGTATAGAGCAACAAACATGGCATCATAAAGTAAGTTGGATCCTGTTCACAGACCTGTTCACACTTTCCCAGATTCTCACGGTCACCTGTATAGCCCTAAAATGTTACAATGCCATAATTAAAAGGATGTAACGGCTTCCTTGGATCATAATAAAGTACTTGAATTGTAAAACTTGCTACAACAATGCTCATGTAAAAAAGTTTTCACCTTGAGAAGTTCCATCTCTTCCTTGGTTGGGCAAAACTTGATGAGATTTTCAACTTGATCGGCATCCAAAATTGACTCATCCATTGCAAGTGCTGCAGCCTGTTAAAGTCAACCCCCATGCAATTACAAAATATAGGGAGAAAAGAAAAGGTTTAGAAGATGGAACCAACAAAGTTACTAGGTGATCACCACCAGCTACAGACTCTTAGACATTGCAAAGAACATCAAACCGAGGTAAGAAGAAAAACAGTAAGAGATTAATGCGTATTATGAATGCACTTCCGATGCAAATGTAAGCATTTATGATTATTTAGCAGAAGGGTGCTACACTCTGCATCTTCCTCTGCTGAGCTTTAGTTTGGACCAACACTTCTTTCCTCTCATTATTCTTCATCGTTAATTATAATTTTATCCTCGTCTCCCTTTTGCAGGAAATTTTCTCTGAATGAATGAAAAAATATCTTTACTTATATCAACTGAAAGCAGGTCAATCCTAAGTACCAATCAAAGAAGAGAAAAAGCACCAAATAAAGCATTTACTTAAGCTGCTTCACTAGATAACTGCTTCAAGCATATAAAAGATTCCAACAAATAGGAATAAGTCATCAAGTCATCTTCACCATATATTGCTTACCATCATGTCAGGAAGTGGCATTTTCACTTTTGTGAGCATAATTTCCGTATTATTGGCCCTCCTTAGGTCAATCTACAAAAGAGCATAACAATTAACAACTATGTCAGAAGGAAAAAAAAAAAAAAAAAATATATGAGAATGCAATGACATGCTTTAACCACATAAGACAAGGAGCCCTATCAGAAGTAGGAAAATATTTCATTCGAGAACCACACAGGACATTGCCAGATTACCAGATGGACTTTATCAGGCTTAGATCCAGTAGATTTTCGCCGCCCTCCAGATTTCTCACCTGCAGTATTAGACTTGGGTACTGTGGCAGAAAAAAGGGTCTCAAGTTCTGACACATCAAAATCAGGTGCCCTAAGAGTTTGAAAGCAATGAATCAGTAACATAAAGAACCAAACTGCAGGAGAAATAAAAGGAAAAAAACTAAAAACTGGCTATAGATATTTGATAGTTGATGGTAGATAGACATACAGGTGAAAAAAAAAAAGAAAACAAATATTATTTGTTCTATCTAAGTGAGGAGGGAACATGAAATGCTAAAATTAATAATTGGATATAAATTGGAGAAACTAAAACTGTTTATTAGTAAAGAGAAACTTACACGTGTGGATCTCCGACACTCTGCAATTCTTCCCACAAGCTTCCTTGCAATACCCTTGTGACCTTGCTCCAATGAAGTGGTTTTAAGGTGGATCTCCGATTTGCTGTAGCTGATATACCGGGACGTGCCAGCCCACGCCCTCTTCCAGCTGGCAACCCCCTACCATCTGCTGCAGGTACCTTCCCAAATGGAGGAGGTGGTGGCGGTCCACCTCCTGGGGGTCTTGGAGGTCCCGGAGGTGCAGGTGGACCAGGGACGCGACCTCCGGGAGGGGGTGGTGGTGGTGGAGCTCCTCCCATGGGAGGAGGCGGAGGAGGGACACGAATCGAAGGTGGTGGGGGAGGTGGTGGGGCCCCATTCTTTGGAAGAAGAGGAGGTGGAGGTGGTGCTGGCGAACCACGAAAGGGAGGGGGTGGCGCGGGTGGTGCCCCCCGTATCGGAGGTGGGGGTGGTGGTGGCACTCCAGGTAAAGGAGGCGGTGCTGGAGGTCGTGTGCCAAAAGATGGTGGTGGAGGAGGTGGTGGAACACCATACATAGGTGGTGGTGGTGGTGGTGGTGGAGGAGATGGGACACCACGTGTAGGTGGAGGTGGAGGTGGTGGTGGAGCACCACACATAGGAGGAGGTGGTGGTGGTGGTGGAGGTGGAGCACCACGCATAGGAGGAGGTGGTGGTGGTGGTGGTGGTGGTGGAGGAGCGCCACAGATAGGAGGTGGTGGTGGTGGTGGTGGAGGTGGAGGTGGAGGTGGAGCGCCACACATAGGAGGTGGTGGTGGTGGTGGTGGTGGAGGTGGAGCGCCACACATAGGAGGTGGTGGTAGTGGTGGAGGTGGAGGTGGAGGTGGAGGTGGAGGTGGAGGTGGAGGTGGAGGGCCACACATAGGAGGAGGTGGTGGTGGTGGGGGTGGTGGAGCGCCACGCACAAGGGGAGGAGATGGAGGTGGAAGACTTTGTAAAGGGAAAGAAGAAAATTCATACATAGGAGATGGAGTGCCATGCATAGGAGGTAGTGGTGGTGGTGGTGGTGGTGGTGGTGGTGGTGGCGGTGGCGGTGGAGCACCACGTGAAGGAGGTGGAGGAGTAGGCGGGCTATGTGATTGGGAAGAAAAAATCCCATGCATGGAAGACGGAGGTGGCAGAGGTGGAGGTGGAGGTGGAGGTGGAAAAACTTTACTAATATTCTGCACATAGGTGGATGGAGGAGGAGGTGGTGGTGGTGGTGGAGGAGGAGGAGGCGAGGGAATGTTTTTTAGCATAGATTCCCTTAAGTTTGTATTGGTATATGGAGGGGGAGGCAACGAACTACTAATATTTAGATTTTGAGAATATGATGGTGGAGGGGGTGACGGTGGGGATGGCAGCAAGGAAGTACTTGCAGATGAAGACAAGGGAAAAGGAGGTGAGGGCGGGGATGGAGGCCGCGGTGGTGGTGGAAGGGTAACTGAAGTTGTTGTTACCGGTGGCAGGCTAATTTCCTCAGTTTCATTTTTCACTTGTGGTGTTCTAGGCAAAGTTGGAGAAGAAGCTTCTTTAGTTGATCTCAAACCTAATGGTGGGTAAGATGCATACTTTGAACGGCTTGGTGCAAAAGAATTGTTGTCAGCAGTCGCCGCCATTTTTTCTGAAGATGAAGTAAGAAATTGAGGCTTAGATTTCCCCCCGGTCAAAGCACCCTTGCCAGCAGCATTAGCTACTGGAGCACTATTAGATCTTGATGGAGGATAATAAACATGCATTGAGTTAGTGTAAGAACCTTTATTAGAAGGTATCCACCTGGACACAGCATCTGGCTTGGCTTGTCGTAAGGTAGGGCCCTGCGACTCTTGCTGCTTAGATTTCTTGTTGGTGCTGACTGAATCTGAAGCAGGCTTTGAACTATTGGACATCATCTGTTTGTTCGCCACAGTTGAGACCCCGTTATACAACTTCTGCTGCTTATCATTATTATTATCAGCAATTAAATTATGTTTGGCTGAAGGAGCATCCTCACTCTTCTTATTTTCTTCTACTTCCGATTTACCATGCGTGCCATAATAAACAGAGTTGGGTTTACCATTACTACTAGTACTGTCCAACTGACCATCCATATTGAGCAACATATTTTTTTCTTGAAGCAAGTGGTGCACGCTTCTGAGAATACCCTCGTCTGATGCACATTCTTCATATGCACGATAATCGGAACCATCCTTCCGAGATACTTCATGATGAATTCCATTGTTCTGACTTCTCAGCTGAACAGTATGAGTATGGTTATCAGGCTCCACTCTACCGTCTTGCCCATCTACACTGCTGAAAATCTCTTCTGCCTCAAAAAACTCTTCTGGTGAGGTACTTTCTAATTCATTTACATCTTCACTCACAGCTTCTTTTGTAGTAATAATGGATGCAAGAGAATCTGCATCTGAAAAGAGCACCTGATACAGCAAAACGTAGTGTTAGCTCTTAAAGCCTTGGAAACAGACTACAATATAAAACCAATGCAACATAGAATCGTTTTACCTCTGCTCTGAAATCTCTTGGAAATTGTTCCTTGGCATCCCAAAGAACATCGACATCGTCACGGGTCAGAATCATAACATTTGATCGGACAAATGCAGTATGAAACATAACTCTAAAAATCATCTCTTCCCTCATTATATCATCCTCCAAATGAATGCACTCAAGAACGATATCTCCCTGAACATGGCAATGGATATCAATTTTCACTATATCGCACTCTTCCTGCAGCCACAGAGAAAACGAGAACATATCAAAATTTAATTATATTACCATTCGTATGTCCTGTGTAGTGTAAATGTAAAAAGAACCCCCTAGCTTTACCGGCCGATAGAAACGTATATTCTTTTTCACTTTTGAAGTCGAAAGCAAAAGCTTGGAACTTCGACTAGACGATTTTGAAGAAGCGTCCTGACCGTATACACGAACAACAGGTCGGCACCCTCTTCCACCATCAAACAGAGGAAGGACTCTAAGTATAATACAATCCAAAGCCAGTGGTGTATCTTTCGGTGGCCAATCTGAACCAAAGTTTCTTTGAGAGATGTACTGAAGGTATCTGAGCTGAGATGGCTGTGGATTTAAAGGAGACAGCAGATGAAGCAATTCCCTGGGTGCTTGTTTGTAGACCATCTCAAGAGTCTTCTGCTCACCAGTATATTGTTTTCTGTACAAAAGTAGGCCCGCGAGCATGAAAGCCAACACGGGCCATCCTCCTCTTTCGCAGTGCATTAAAAGCACATTCTGTTGGCCCTCGAGCGACAACCAGCTCTCGCTTGATCGCAAGAAGTGATGGATCATCTCCAGTGGCAACAGGGGGCACCCTTCATACTGCCGAGGGTAATCCATTACCGTCATATCATACTGAGATAGCACATCAGATAATTGGCTCCTCCTTTCCCCTTCTTTGAAGTTGAAAACCATGAAAGCAGCATCTGGGTAGTGGTCCTGTAGTTGAGCCACGATCCCATTCATGTATGTTCGGTACGCATCTTCATCGAGAACATCCGTAGAGAAGCAGCAGTCGAACACTGCATTCAGCAAACAAGAAATGCCATGTGTCATAAATTACAAGTACACTCAGCATACCGAAAATCATATTCATTGATAACATTTTTTTTTCTTTTAGGGAATAAGAAATAATAGTAATAACACATCAGAGTTTCCAGCACAGGACTTCAAATATCACTTCAATATTATTACACCCATTTGCAGCACCAATAACGAATTGTAATAAATATCAAACAAAGAGAATAAAATTAAGACTTATGAAACATCCATAAGCATTGCATGTAAACGGATGGCTAAAATGTTTCCATGCAGCAAAATGATCCTATTAACTACATCTTGCACCACATAAAATCAAAATTTGCTTTGTAACTCACTGAACTTCACAAGATCAGCAGCCCTTCATTTTAGAAAATAGAAACAATCCTATCACTTCATAGTCTATCCTGCCCTCAAATAGAAGTAAAAGGCCATCAAAACTCGAGCTAGAAGTACAAAACAGGAACAGATAACAACTCCAAAAATGCCATCCAGCAGCCAACTCCAAAATTTAAATCCCACATTCTCTCTTGAGCCTTTCAAAACTAAAAAGAAAAAGAACCCCAAGGCTAAGCAAACTAAGTCAAACTAGAACAAGGAATAGAACCACAGCACAAAAAAATCGTACCGTACACCCTCTCAGAGATCTCGAGAAGCCGATCCGGTGGCTTCCGGTAGAAGAATCTCCTGAACAGCGCCATCTAATGGCGCTGTTTCCCACCTAATCAGGTCCAAAACCTTCACTTTCCCTCTTCAAGCCCTTAACCTGAGTGTTTAACCCAGCTAGGCAACAACCCTTCACAACCCACAAAATTACCTCCACAATAAACCACAAAATCCCAAACAATCAAACAAACCCAGATCAGAAAACACCAGCAAGCAAGCAATTGCAGCCCAGCTGACGCAAAATCAAGCCACAGCTGAGGGTTTTGGCCTCCCCGCAATCCAACAGTAAAAACCACCCGAAACCCAGCTCAAAACACCAGAAATGGGGATAAAAAAAAAGGGAAAATTGCGACAACTGGAAGAAGCTAGAACTCAGACTCCAGTACACAATCAGAATAAAAATTAGATTTTTTTTTTTTTTTTCCTAGGGCTTGAGGGATGTACGGGCCGATTGCAATTGGAAAAGCAATGAGAGAAGGAGATAATGATGATAGACAATTGTTGAAAAACGTGAAATCATAATAGGACGGGTTCGCTCAAAAGGGCAAAAAGAGAAAAAACAAGAATTGATCACATCACATGGGAGGTTTGGAGAGAGAAAGGGAAGGGGGAAACGTAGTGGACTGAACGGAGGTCGCCGTCAAGGAAGACAGGACCCGACCCGACCCGACCCTGTCAAATGGGGGGTTGAAGTGACCCGGACCCGATAACCATTATCATTGTTTTAGCCTTTTGTCGATTTTCTTGGTCTGTTGTTTTGTTTTGGCTTAATTGTATTTATTTATTGCTTAGATTAGATTTGGAATATTCAGTCATCAGATCGAAAATATCAGATTATATTTATTACATTATTTTATATACATTTATTTTTTTTGGTCTCTTTTTATAACAGTGGTTCGCCACTTCTTTTATTGGTTGACTCGTACACAAGACCTATTTATAATTATTATTTGATATTATTTATATGTGCTTCGCACGAGGTACGCCAATAGAATTAAAAGAATTGACTTATGATTATTGAAATGGCGAATTATAAGGAAAGAAATCCTATTAGAAAAGAATACTTATGTGGAAAAAAGTCTTCACCTTTACTCAAGGGAGAGTGAGCAAATTTTCAAAATTCTTACTTAAATCTAAAATGATCTTGATAACACATATGGGCTCGAAGAAGTATTATTTGTGCTTATTATATGCATCATTACCAGACTTGAAAACCCTAACTTGTGATTATTATGCTTAGTGCAAATACTGAATTTTAGAGTACAAAATTAATTTGAGCATCGAAAAGTGTTTACGTCGATAATTACGACGTTTTGCATGTTACTGAAATCGGTTCGAAAAGGTTTCAGTTCGATTTAAAAATGCAGAACACATCTACTAAAGAAAAATAATACAAATTCTAGTTACGTTGAAAATCGTAACAAAACAAACAAATAAAAATAAAACGACCGATCGTGACTGGTTCTAAATCGATTATTGATCGATTTCGTGATCGGCAATTCTACTACTAGTGTAAAAGCCGGCTTGGATGATGGTTCGGATCAGAGCCGGCCCTGGCCCAGGGCGACCTGGGCGACCGCCCAGGGCCCAGGACAGGGCCTAATTTGAAGGGGGCACCATTTAAAAGAGCCTTTGTTGCCATTCAAAGGAGCCTATGTTGCAAATAATGAGTTGGAAATTTTGGAGGAGGTGTATTTTATGTGAGTGTGTTATAAGAAATTGATTCAAAAAATGAGAAATAATTAGAGATATGTGGTCTGTACTTTTGAGAAGGAAGACGGAAGAAAGAAAGAAAGAAAGAAAGAAGAAGGAAGGAAAGAAGAAAAAGAAAAACACAAAGTTTGACCAAAAAAAGAGAGAGAAAGGGAGAGAGAAAAAAGGAAAAAGAAAAAGGAAAAGTAAAAAAGAAAAAAAAAATACATTTCTAAAACTGATGTTTGTTTCAATCAACATAGGTAGGAAAAAAAAAGAGTAAATATGAAATAATTAAAATGCTATTACAATATATCTATTTTCAACAAATATCAATTGCAAAAATAATTTAAAATGCACAAGACTTTCTTAAATTCTATATCAAAACCTACCAACCCATTTATTCCTATTAGATTTTTTTTTTTTTGTTGTTGTGTGTGTTTCTTTGTAGTTTACGTATAATAAATTATAATCACTATTTATTTTAAAAAATTTACAACTTATTGAATAAAAAATCATTTAGTTAAGCAAAAAAGTGTAAAATAATAAAAGTTATTATTGAATATATTAAAATAAAGGAGAGTTAATTTTCTCTACAAAATTATAAGGATTTATATAAATATAATATTCAACTTACACATAATTATATGATTTGTAAATAACGGTGTTCGTACTTACTTATGATTTATGTTTATATTATTATATATAAATTTTCTTACAACTTATTTATGTAGTTTATTAGCTTATTGCATTGAAATAAACAAAAAATGAGGGACAATTTTTTTTATTAATTCATGCAAAGTTACTAATGTATGGGATGGTAATTGTTAAAATCTCATAAATTTCATCGTAATGAACGAAAAAGGAGGCACTATTCTTACATTTTGCCCAGGGCCTAATAAAGGCTAGGACCGGCTCTGGTTCCGATTAATGGGTGGTCATATGTTGACAAATGACAAGGACCAACGGATGGCACTTTCATTGTAGTTGGAAAACTTGCAATAAAAGGTTTCATTCATTCATTTTCATCTTTAAATATCTCTCTAGAGAAACAAAATAGTGAAATTGTTTATAAACATTTTTTTTTTTTTCTTTTTGGGTAGAAATGGTTTTAAGGTTTTTACTTTCCTTCATGACGTGTCTGTTGATTATGGGTAGAGTGTAAACGAGGCTCGAGGTCTTATCTAATTGAGCTCGACTATTAAATTAATGAGACAACACCTAAATCCGAGCTCGACTTGTAAATGAGCTTTACGCGGACTCGAGCTTGTAAGTCAAGTTATATTGAAAGTTAAAAAAATTATGTAAACACTCTAAGTTTAACAAGTCGGGTTCGAACCAATTCGAGTCGAACTCATGAATGAATCATTTTGACTCGTTAAGACTCCAACTATGAGTGCACAAATATGATTAGCAATGTCCAACTTGCTTAATATCATCTAAATGTAGGTCAATGTATATTATGGTATATTGCTGTATTTGCTGTTGTTGATAAGAATTTGATTGGTCACATGGATTATCAAACTCAAATCAATTTGTATTTATTGGTATGACAAAATACAGACCAAACCCTTATTAGGTTAGGCCAAGGGGTTTGGTAACTGGTAAGGAACTGGGACAGGATAAAATGACCAAATTAACCTCATTACATACTTTATTTTTCAACTAGTACAACGTCCGTGTATTACGCGGGTGTTTTGCTAAAATTTTTTCTTATAATTTGAAGTTAATGAAAAAAATAGTTGAAAATTTAAATACTTTTTATAAAAAATATATATCATTATATGTTTTAGTATGACACTTGTTACTTGTGCGACTTACATGTGTTATATTATAATAATTTTTCTAACTTATAACATATAACTACATTAAACATAAATATATTAGTTGAAAAATAATTTTATTTTTCTAATTAATTTTAATAATATTTTTATTATTATAAAGATAAAGATAATTTATTTATACAATATGGATGTCAAATTGAAGTTTATCGAAAGATGATTAATTTGATATATTATATATGTAAAACCGATAAAAATACAAAAAATATCAACTTTAAAATATATTTGCAATTCAATAATTATAATAAGAAATGATATTAAAATACAATAAATCAAAATATTAATAGTAGTATGAACCTGATTTTTATTTTTTTTTATTTTTTTTGGGATTGAAATTAAATTAAAATATATCCAATCTAAATAATAAAGCATAAAATTTTGACACCTAGGATCCAGAAGCATGCGAGTCTGCTACTTAGGCTCAGCACATTCGAAAATTATATATAGGGGGAAGGGATGTATCCATAAAATAAAGTAATGAATAATAAAAGTGGGAAATGCTACAGTCCCGTTACGGTAACATCCCGTCGGATGTTTTTCCGCTTGACCCACATGTAGTTAGATAAGATAGATGATTCAACGTTTAAAACACCGACGGGATGGTAACGGACCGTAGCATTTCCCAGTAAAAGTTACTTATACATTCCAATTAATTTATGAAGTATGAACACACCCATGAACCATTCTTTTAAACCAACCAACAAAGGTGCAATGACTGGTAAAACATCTTTTTTCTGGGCATATAACTATAAGAAAACATAGAAAAAAGTACAAACTCAGAACAGAAAATTTACATTGCTATTGTGAGTAATATATCATGAATTTCTTCTTATACATCGTTAAATCGGTTGAAAAGAAAAAATACGACCGACAGATGGAAAAATCTGAGCAAACAGATGAAAAATGCTAGTTGACAGATTATGATTTATATATAATAAGATATCACAGTGTATCCAAGGAAGAAAAAAAATGGAACTTAAGAAGAGTCGTTCGTTATTGTGTGGGACATCAAACTCGGTGAGGAAGAAAATCGAACTCTCGACGGCGAAGATATTCATTCCAGATGATTTTGCAACCAACTTGGTTTGTTTACTAGGAAAAAAAATGATCAGCTCAGTCATTTTAGAAGCATGGGAGCTTACTGTTGAGCTAATTCGCAGTTTGGAATACACCGAGAATTGTGCTTTGAAATCAGCAAGAGTTCCGTTACTTCCCGTTTATCTTAACTGCGGATAAAACCATGGCATTAGTAGGATCGATCATAAGGATTTGAAATAAGTTTCATTTTTTTTTTTATAAGAGTAAATCTTATGGAGCATTTTTTTAAAAATTAACAAGAATTTATTAATGTTAGCACTCCACAGAAAATTTACACAACCCACCTCTCTGGAACCATGATCTTCGAACGGCCTGGCGAATATGACGTTCGTGTTTTTCCAAGAGCTCATCGATTTTCTTCGATTGGGAAAGCAAGGGCCCTGAAAACTCGACCTTCTCCTCTTGATTATGGTATACCTGTTTCAATTACAAAAATCCACATACATTAGCACAAAAAGTAATTATATCCAAAAAAAATGAAACATAAGTTGAAAATAATTTCACTTTTTTTTACATTCCCATTTAATCAACAAGACAACCCAGTAACCAGCTCAAATAAAGCTCTTATCAGCTTCTAGCCAGAAAATCCTCATTTTTGGCAGTCGAAAACTTATTCAACAGCCAGCAAACGATCCCGAATCGTATTTCAACATCATGGTGTAAATTGTGAAACGAACAAACAGTAGCGAAAACCATAATCAATCTAAAATATTAATTTAGCAGATTTAAAACAAAAAAAATAAAATAACATACCGAGTTGCTTCCCTTGGAAGCCGCTTCCCCTTTACGTACAGACAGATCCTGCGAATGGTAATCCTCCGAGGCATCGAACGAATCAGGACACTCCAGCTGGCTCCACTTCTTAAGCATCGAACTTTTGAATATTTCATAAGACTCGCGCTCTTTTGCTCCGGCATCATCATCACGTTTTCCTTCATCATTGGAGTCCAAATCGTTACTTTTCGAGCGCCCAGCACCGCAAGATTCGATGTTCAGGCTTCTCGAGCTCGACTTGCTTCTCGACCTCAAGTCGGTAGTTCTTCGGGCCCACGCGAAGCCGCTTGATCCCGAGACCTGCAGGGGCCCTGCATATGTGGCGTCTCCTTGGGATGCATTTTTCGCGTGAGATGGCGCTTTCGTAGGGCCCACTGGCGGTTTAGGTGGCTCGTGACCCGAGGCCTTATTCACTCTGTGGTTGCTGGCACGGCCAATTCTGTTCATTTTCGGCTCCTCTTGCTTCTGAGGAGCCAAGTTCTGAAAAAAATCCAAAAATGGTTATAATGAAGTGCATAGGAGAGAGAGAGAGAGAGGGAGAGAGAGAGAGAGAGAGAGGGAGGGAGAGAGAGAGAGAGAGGGAGAGAGAGAGAGATAGAGAGAGAGAGAGAGAGAACCTCTTCTGGGGCAAGTTTATTGATCCCATTCGGTTTTCTGGTTGGTTTTCTTACTTCAGGTCCACGAGACCTTCCGGCTGGCCTTTTTCTGAAAGTACAGATTATTATATATATATATAAATTATAAATAAATAATAATGAAAAATGGACATGAAGAGCTTTTATACCTGCTAGCCTCTTCATGATGTTTAATGTCTATCTCCTTACTGGGGGGATACTTTGGCAAGCTTGACGGTTCACAAGCGTATGGCTTCGTCTTGAAATACTAATAAAATGCAAATACTTTTAGAAATCAGAAGGATCCCACTTCATTGAAATCTTTTATAATAATATTTTAATTTCGTAAAAATGAACAGCCAGTTTCTTAAAAGAGGGGACAGAAAAGGTGGTAAACTACAAAGAACTTATACATTTCTTTCTATCTGAAAACAAGAAATCCACCAAGAGTCGAAAGAAAGGTGGTGTAACTAAATATTCTTATCTTATCTTTGTTTTATCGATAATTATAATATTACCTCAGATGTTAGGGCAGCAGCAGCAGTGCCCCGCTTGAATGGCTCGACTGATAACAGAGTTTCAATGAGTGACACGGCAACTTGGGGAAGATCTTTAAAAGTTTGCCAAAGGGAGCTCTGATAAGGATGCTGTGGCTTAAACAGTGTAGCGTGTGGAAGTTTCGATTTTTTCCAGTAATCTTCCGGAGGGGACCCACAGAGTTTGAATATCTTGTGAAGCTGTTCCACCTGTTCCATTGACATTAATATGTTCTTGTTATTTTACAATTTACACGTCCTGAATTATAATCTAATATACTTTACGACCTCCTCACGCCAATTAATAGCACGGATTCTCTCAAGTTATTTGACAGATGTAAGAATTGGTTTGGATAATGCAAAGTAAAGATCAGACAGATAAATTGCGAATCAAGTGCACTTTCCTGATAAAGGGGGAAAAAATAGGATCACTTGTGAAACTGAACGAACCTCTCGAAATTCAAGCCCTAAAGGATCACTCGAGGGAATCGGATGACTAGCTCAGAAAACAACCGATATAAATTTTTCGAAAGTAGAGTTTCTATATAAGTTCTTAGCTTCAGAATCCCTTTATTCTCATAATACTTGCATGTCTTGATCATAAAGTTCAAAAGGTAGAACGGTGGATTTAAATATGCATATGCACAGGGTCGATGTAATTGAGGAGGTCGACCTCATACAACATGGATTCTGGCCTAAGGTAAACCCAACAAAAAAAAAAAAGAAATCTGTCTTTTTGGCCTAGAAGCAAGAATCACTTTATCTTTCTCGTACAAGCAAAATCAATCACTAGAATACAATGAAAGGGGTAATTATTTACCTCAGTCCTCCCCTGAATGATAGGTTTCCCAACAAGAAGTTCACCAAGCAAGCAACCGGCACTCCAAAGATCGACTGATGCCCCATAGTCAGTGGACCCCAATAAGAGCTCGGGTGGCCGATACCAAAGAGTGACCACCCGACTAGTCAGAGGTTGCCTCTGCCCGAAACTACAGAAGTTTGCTAATCCAAAATCGGCAATTTTAAGCACACCTTCATTATCCACTAAGAGATTCGCGCCTTTAATGTCCCGATGCATCACTCCCCGAGAATGACAGTGCTCGAGTCCCGATAGCAATTGCTTCATGTAGCACTTGACCTGTAAATTTCAATGGCACCATTGGCATAAATACATGAAGAAGGATTTAGTTACTTCAATTCAAGAAAGTGGCGACAATTAATGTTTTAAGCGACTTGCATGGAAAATTGCAAGCTTATTCGAATGAATATGAAAACAGTTACTTTAAAATGCAAAAATATGAACTTAGTTCACCCATCAGCCTGGGTGGAGTTTGTAAAATAAAAACGTGTAACGTGAGTAAATTGTGGAAATATGTGGGATCATTCTGTAATAAGCAACACCTCGTTCATAGTACTTGTAACTATAATCCCCACATGGAAAAACTGACAATCTTACAATCCAATTTGTTTCAGTGATCGGTTGCTTGTATTAGAACCTAAGGTCCAAAACACGATTAAAAAAAAAAAGAAAAAGAAAACTACACAATATTTTGCATATAATTTACGAGAGATTAATCCCGAACCTGTGCCTCGGTGAAAGTAATCCCTGGGGAAGATAACAGTCCAGCTATATCATGTTCCATATACTCAAACACAAGATATATGTTGCACGAAGACCTTGACGTGATTATACCTTCCAACTTTATAATATTCGGATGGTCAAGCCGGCGAAGGATTAATATCTCCCGAGCCATGAAACGAACGCTTTCAGGCTCGAAATTGTCGAACCGGACTTTTTTCAAAGCAACAATCCTTCCCTTCTCTAAGTCGCGTGCTCGGAATACGGTGCTATACGTGCCCTGGCCAATCTGATTAACAACAAAGTGCATACCATTTTACATATTTTCAACAAAATACAAATAAAATCGGACTTGGATTACTATAGGCTCCCAGCAAAGAGCTACTGTTCTGTCATGTAGCTTCTGGCTTATTGGTAAAACTCCAGATTATATTTTTCAAGAACCTCAAACAGGAGCAAAAGGACAAATTACAGAGCCAAATAAACTCTCAAACTGGGGCAAAATGACAAATTTAGAGAGACAAAGAAACTCTAAAACTGGGCAAAGAGACAAATTACAGAGCCATAATTCATTAGCAAAATCACAAGCTCAGATGTTTCAGCCAAAAATGAAATGAGCCAAACCATAATTTAGTGATCATTAATTTGCCAACACGCTTCACGGCGTGTACTAAATGGTCACAGACAACTAATACAAGTCTACAAGTCCTACTTACTAAAATAAGGAACAAAATTGACCGCACAAAATCTAATATGTTTTAAGAGACTAACAGCCTGATTAATTATACTTTAAGATTTTCTTCATACACTGACCTTTTCAAGTTTCTCGAAAGAATCTGCTTTAAGGGGCACCCAGCCCTGAATGGCTTCACCGGCCACCGCGCTCAGCCACGCCGGCCAACCCGCCGCCACCTGCTCCCCCTCCAAGAACCTGTGCAGGTTCCCCAGCCGGAAGCTGACCGACCCATTCGAACTCGCCCGTCCCGACTCGCACTCGCTTCCCGACTCGGCCGCCCCCCTCTTCTTCACCTTCTTCAAGTTCAACTCCAGCTCCGCCACCAAGCCCCCGCCCCCGCCGCAGCTCCCCACTCGGCTCCGATCCGACCCGCCATTGAGCGCCCCCGAGTGATCCACCGCGGCCGGGGTCACCGAGACCGCTTGCTTCGACGGCACGCAGCCCATGTGAGCGGCGCCACCCAAACCGTCACCAGCTCTCCGCCGCCACCATGATACTAATCGGAGAAAGATGAAGCGAACCCAGATCCGGATTTGCTGAATCTCGACCCGGGCCGAGCTTCGTTTCAGCGAAAACCAATGCCGGCCCCCTCGCCAGATCACTGATTACCCTCAAGCTCGCGTTTTTTAAACACTGCTATCAAGATACTAGGAAAAATCCTTTCGACACCACTTTCTCTCTCTATCCCAAAACCCCCCTTTTTATTCTGCGGTAATTGCGGGTAAAAGCTTTTGCCACTTAATAATAATGGGGGTTTACAATCACAGCAGGAATTCAAGCGAAATCAACGGAGGTCGCCCAAAAAATTAAAGACAAAAGACTGTCGCTTTTTAGTCTTTCCTCCCTCACACAGTAATGGTGAGTGAGGTATATATATTAGTTTAGGTCTGTGGATAATCTTGCTGTTTGTATTGTACATATCTCTCTCTCAAACAAAAGCGGCGGGAGTCTACCGCAGTGTAAAACGGAGAAAGTTGCAGATGTCTACTAAAAAAAACCAGCGGCCTGAATTCTGCACTTTGACTTAGTACGTGTATTTGGTAAACGGAACTAAAAAAAATATGGTTTTGTAATTTGGATTATTCTATTGAATAAAAGCCTCTTGTGAGAGATTTCAAGAGTCAGTAGTGTCAGGTCAAGTTCCACCAAATAACAACTAATAGGGTTGATTCAAGTTGTAAGCAGCTTGATGTCGCTTAAGCAAGGTTGGATGCTGAAAACCTTTGTTAGGAGACTTATCCACCACTGCCAGGTGCGCGACTCGGGTCGACCAACGGATTAGTCGGGGCATAGCTCCGGATACCGTGGCTAGCTAAAAAAGAAAAAATTCCACCAAATAACCATGTAAAAGTTAAAAATTTATAATAGTTTTTAGAGAAAAGCTACTGTTCCCTTACGAATTAATTTAGTCGGGATTTGTAACCATTAGATAATCATGTAATCGTCGTGAATAGTTGATCTAACTGTTACAAATCCTGACGGAATGGTCCATAACAGACCGTAGAATCTCTCTTTTTTTCAACACGTGTTTGTTTGTAATTTTTTATTCATATTTAAAGTTTTAATTCAATTTTAACATAATTTAATTATATTTAATACTATTAATATAATTAAATAATATTAACAATATTTTTACACATCACACCCACTTTAATCCACTATTCGGTCACTTACATAATTTTAACTAAGAATCACTTCATATCATCTTTCTCCTATTTTTACATCAAATTAACTATAATTTTAAAAGTTATTTTAACATAAATTCAAAAATCCTCTAATATCCAATCATATCACATTTTAAAAAAAAAATAACTATAATTAACCAAAAAAATCTCATTCTGAGCGGGTATATTTGTATCCAAGCACACTTAGTGTATGTTCGAAGCACTTTTGAAATGAACTTTTGACTATATATAAAAGTCTCTTTCTTATATAAAAAGATATTTGTTGTAATAACAAAATAGACTTTAAAGAAAGTAACTCGTGCGAAAAGTAACTTTTCAAATAATTTTATATTGGACACTTCTTGAGAAATAACTTTCGAAAAGTTCATATTAAAATGGACTTATCAATAAGTGTTTCCAAAAAAACCCTTAGTTTTTGGAAAAAAAAAACTTAACGCCTAGTTGGATATAAAATATTCAGGTTGATCATATAATTATTTAGTTTCAACATATTCGAACATAACTCAATACAGTTTTACTCAATATTATCAATATAATTAAATTATATCAATCATTTATTGTCACACGTGAACTTAGTTCACTATTTATTCTCTCATGTAGTTTTAACTACTCATGAATTTCAGTAATCCCTCTCTCATACTTTATATCATATCAACATTAATCATTATATTTTAAATACTGTTTAAAGCTCAAAATCGCACAAAACCATACTTCAATATTTTTTTTCAAAATGGACTCACTTTATCCAATTAATCCAATCAAATCCAAAATAACTTGTATTAGGCTCTTAGGATGCATTAGCTGCAAATATTGTTCGCAAAATCGGGCCATTAGGGCGCATCGGCTGAAAATATTATCCGATTTTGACTTATCAAATATTTCTTTTACAGTATATAACTCAAATTCAACTTAAATTAATCAACCATATTTTCATTCCTTAATATTATCAATATAAATAATATCAATCAATCATACTCACATATCACATAAATTTTAATTCTCTATTATCAACTCACATATTTTTAGATACCTATCATTTTCAGTTAACATCTCTCTTGCTTCTGTATCAAATCAACTTAATTATTACAACATAAATGTTGCTTACATACAAATTCAAAATATTACTCAAACTTCCACTCAATCAACTTTATTAAAAATAAATTTACTTTAAACACTAAATTCAATCAAAATCGATTTTGATTATATCCAATCACGCCTTAATATTCCCAAAAAAATAAACCTTGGTTATAATAATTGACATATATTTAGATGAAAATTTCATGTAGTAATTGTTGATTTTATAACATATAAAATTATAGAATTAAGTCAGGAATTAATTTACATCATGTTAAATTTATCAACTTATTCATGTTATTATAGTAGATGTGATATATAATATTCAATTTAAAACTATGAATGTTAAATAAACTACTGATATGAATAAATGTGCGATTCATCTAATTAATATATTTGTTCCCAAATTATGTGGAGTTGTATCGGCAAAATAATGGTATAGAATCAAACATAAGATTTTGATATGGAGTTATCAGATGCATTACGACTTATACAGTCATTCATACTTATTCAGAAATTGTACATTACTAAAATAATTATATATGAAACGTGTGGTAGCACATCATTATCGAATTTATGTCAAATTGTGTATCTTATGCATAGTTTTCTTAATTAATTGAAATGTCATATATAAACAAAAGCATGACATCTTATAATATAAAAATGTACTTATGTTAAGAAAATATGACAGATCGACCCACCTAAATATGACCGTCTATGCTATAGTACTCTTTTTCTTTCCTTGTTTTTTTTTTTTTTGAACAATAATAATTTGGAGATATTTTCTCTCTTGTTTTCATTTCAAGCATTTTCTTGCCTTCAAAAGGGTTCAAACTTTAAATAAGGGAGCCCGTTTTGGTGGGTGGTTATCTTTGTGTGCATGGTGTGCATAGTGACAGCGAATGAGAGAGCTAAGAACAGACCAATGATGGAGCGCGTGCGGAGAGTGGGGAACACATATTGGTTGGGTTGGTATTGAAAGGATGGTGTTGAGATTGAAATTGAAAGGGCATATTTTTTTTTTTTTTT